CCCCAAAACCCCAAAACCCCAAAACCCCAAAACCCCAAAACCCCAAAACCCCAATTATATCCGAAAATGTTGATGATTTATGATATTTAAATACTAGTCTGGCCTTGTTCTCATGATAAAACTTTTACCCCTTATGATAAACTGGTGCTTTCTTTCTCTTCGCTTCTCAAACACATTTCTTTGAATTCTTTGGATCTTCATTCTATTTAACCTTCTTTTTCGCTACATCTATACCCCATGTCACCAATACTCATCGAGTGGCTTACCATTGAGATAATGAGTGAAGGCTTTCTTCCTATCCCTGTAGGTTTAATCCAAAAGTCTCTTACTCCTTCTCTGAATCTATCTTCTCCCTGAGGGCTTTGATGCTAAGGTCGACTAGTCTATTCTTAGTCCCCACGAAGGTATTCTTGACCTGGCTTATCTTCCTATTCCGCTTGACTTCCTACAAGAGCAGGGTTAGAGAGCTAGGGCCGTACTAGGAGGTATTCATAGCGGTCACATGCAGCCTGGTCATGCTTGAATTTTTTGTTAAACCTCCTCCTCTTCTCGTTGTCATAGATATCTGCAAATTTAGAGTAGAAGTATTTGTTCGTCTTATCTTCAACATCGGCTTCAGCCAAATACTGTTTGAACTGGTCTTCCTTTTTCAAAGATTTTAGGGATCTTAGGTCAAGTTTAAGACTCTTGCTGAAGGAATTCCGGAAAAGTCTGGAGTAAGAGTTTACACTGGAGCTGAAAGCAGGGCCTTTAGATGCAATTGAGCTGTACAGTGAGTTAGATAGGTACCTTTGAGAAGTACTGGTTTGGAACGAGTATTGACCACCGCTTAGAGTCATATTGTCTCGTTTTATGCTATCTATTTGTTCAGGAGTCCTATATCTCTGATTCTTATTTGGTATTTTATTAGTGGTATTCGACAATCCCTTCTTTGATTCGACTCTATTTGGACATTGTTGAGGTTGATGGAGTCATCTTTGGTAAGGGTGGAAGAGGAGCATAATTCGGCTTTGGAGTACTCGTATTGTTTAGCGGACTATAGTTAAAATTAAGCTATTAATAACTCCTTTCTGATTACTCAGCTAAGTAAGTATCCTTAATACCAAGTAATACTATAAAGATTAAAAATTGTTCCCGTAGTTCTTGCACCTTGAATATTTTAGAATTGATTGAGATTTGTCATTCACTATTTCAAATAAGTCTTACAGATTTCGGCCCATCTTCTGAAATTGTTGGACTTCAAATTTCGCATCAAAGAATGATGGAAAGTAATCTTTTTCTCTTGAAATAGGTTCATCTCCCTTTTTATATGTAAACATATAAGTCAATTTATAAATTAAAAATTGGGGTTTTGGGGTTTTGGGGTTTTGGGGTTTTGGGG